AGCAAATCAGTACTTAAGGAGGAACTTCTCCCACCAGCAAAGTATGGAATAGTACTATGCTCTTATCTTCACTTACCACTCTAAGAAATTCCTGAGTGATCTCCCATATTGGCCTGAATTAACTACTGGTATTTTCATGACTCCTAAAACTGTTTGACAATTAAGAGACATGATTGTAAAACATGCATATGGAAATCAGGCAGCAGCCATGTCTTTCCATGTACTGTTCCCAGGTTCCCAGGTGACTCTCCCCAGCAGACTGCCTAAACTAATTTTTATTTCTGAAGTTGCATAGCACAAGACATATCATTTGCATTTTCAGGAATTTTGTATTTCACACTAAACAAAGACCAGACTTGAAAAAGGAACACCAAAACCACCTAATAAATTGCCCCAGCACATCTTGGATGCACCTCCAACTGCTTGAGATGGTATGAATGTCACCACACCACATGCTTTGAGTATGGTTACCTATACCTAATCTAAGAAGGCAACTTCTAATAAACTTCAAGGTACATCACATAAAACAATACCTTCAAATTTCAAATTCACAAATGCTTTTGCATTTGTTTCAAACTGTATTGCAGCAATCTGAGAATAAAACTTCCCCTCTAGACACTCATCCCTCGGCTCTTCCCCTCTGCCTGACATGCACTTGTTTTCCTGTTCCAGTTCCACTGGCACAGGTTGCCCAGGGAGGCTGTGGCTGCCCCAACCTTGGCAGTGTTCAAGGCCAGGCTGGATGAAGCCTTGAGCAACCTGATCTAGTGAGGAGGTGTCCCTGCCCAGGGCAGGGTTGGGACTGGATGACCTGCAAGGTCCATTCCAATCTCTAAATTCTATGATTCTATGATTGATGATGATTTGAATCTGCCCAAAACTTATATATAAGGTCAAGGAGCAAAAATATCTTCATGATGAACCCAATTTGTCTCTCAGCCCAAAATGACTCAGAGGAAAAAAAGCCACTACTGTCCAGCACAATATCCACCACCAGCAGCACTGCTGAAGGGACTCCCTGTGATAAATACTAGATCCTGAATTCCCAGGGCTCACTGTGGGACCTCTCTCCAGTGCTTCTAGAAAATCCACTGCAGCAAAACAGTACATTAGTTTAAACAGAGTATGAATTGTCTGCACAGCCCCCATCAACTAGCTCCCTGTTTTGTTGGGATCAGCCAATGTTTTGGTCATTACATTTATTCTAAGATGGAAAGACTGAGTGATGTTTTAAAGCTCATCTAACACTTCCTCTTTACCTGTGTCTCTTCCAGCCAATGAAATGGCTCACCCTAAAAAACCCCACTAAACTTCTGCAGAAAACATTTAACTTTAAAAAAAAAATCATAAAATAGGATTTATTTTTAATGTAGCTCAATTTTTCTAAGAAAACCAAAACAGACCTTAAAAAAATACCACAAAGGCCTTACTGTAAAGCACATAATAATTCCATTTTAACCTTCAAAAATGAACGAGACTGCTGGAGTTTCAGACACAGTATATCATCTCCAAGATTCTTGAAAAAATTAATTAAACAGACCATACAGGCTGAGTAACAACATATTCAATAAAGTGAGCAACCAGGACAACCTGTTCATCAGAGAAATGCTTTTTCCCATCCTCATCTCACTCACCACAGATGTACCCATCACCAGTGACATTTCTTACTGAGGTACATTTTTTGTCAAATTTGAACATAGCAATCAGCTCCAGAACTCTGCAGACAGCTTTTCATCCTCTCAGGATATGAGGCCAGAGATCATTTGTTGCCATTACTTTTAGAAGAAACTTTACCCAGATAATTTATGATCAACTTACAGTAGATGTGCAAGAGCAGCCCAGACAGGCAGAGGACAATAACCAGAACATTCCAAACAGCCTTTTTTTTTTTTTACCCTTTTTTTCTGTTTGAAACCAATGCATGGAAACCACAGGAAAAGAGGGGGAAAAAATAAAGCAAAAAACCCAAGAAAACACCCCACACAAAACCCTGTATTTATGTCAGCATAATTTCAATTGAAGTCTTAGCCAGTCAACATTCTCCATGAATCGAACCAGAAATTTAAAGAACACAGTTAAAATCTTCAAACAATCTTTCAGGTCAAGTCTCTGCAAGCTGATTTAATATTTTAAGTTGATATCAGAAGACTGAATGAATACTGTATTTTCCCCCCAGTAGGAAAAAGTTCTTCATTCCTTACCTCATCATCTTTATACCAGGACAAGCTTTCTGCAGTCAGAACGAACCAGTACTCCTTGGATCCTCCTTTCATGATGCCAATGTTGTTGATGGTCAGCCAGCCTTTCCTGATGACCTATGCAGAGGTGCAGTCAGGCACAAGTTTAGTTCATTACTCACTTGACATAATTCCACTGCTGCATTCATTCATTTAAACAAAGACTTGCTAAATAAAACAACAACAGGTGAATTTTTTAAGTCTCTGGCAAACTCAACACTTTTTGCAGGTTCCTAACATTCAAAAAAAAAAAAAAAGTAACAAAGTGAATACAGTGTTTTCAGTCAAAAGGTTGGAGAAAGAGGAGACTAAGTATTAGTGTGTGTGCTTACAGCACATATGAGTGTTAAGCATCATGTAAACTTGAAGATGTTTATTTGCTGTATAACAACACATTGTAAAAGTCCATAAAACTTTATGTCTGACTACACTGGTCTGGTTTAATTCTTAAGGTCATTTGTAAAGTTGGATATTACGAAAAGCACCTAGATCCTGGCAAAGCAAGTGGCTCTGGCACACACAGGGAATTTTCAGAAGGGGCTGAACAGAGTGGAAGTGGAGAGGTCTTCTACAGCTAATTGGAAATTAAGGTAGAAATGGTAAGGAGAGGCATGTGAGAGCTATTTTCTTCTCATAAGGCAGAAGAGAAAAAGAGGGGAAAAAAACCCCTAAGGCAGCAATAAAAATCAGGAGAAAAATGGGTAAAGCAGAACTTCATAAAATAGATATAAGCCAAAGATGAAGAAACACATGAGAATAAGATACCTCTAAATACTAGGGCCAGGAGGCTACATCATGCACAGAGAAGGAGGGACAAAAGAAAAACTGAGAGAAATGAGACAACTCCAGAGGTGAAGAAGAGAGAATCATCATGAGAACTGGGTTAGGGATCAGATAGAAACTTTCAGTTTTATTGGAACATTTATTGTTTCCAATATGAATATGAGAAAGCAAATATTCCTTCCTATTATAGTCTGAATGAGATAACAGAACTCTTCCAATCACACAGAAGAAGGAAACCTCAGCCATTCTGAGGTTTCTCCCCACAGCTACACTTTTCACTTGCCAGTGAAGTACTGAGGTAAAAAATGCTCAGAAAAGTCCTTCAGAACTCCCTCCACAAGTCCCACAGGCAGTGACTTGTGTGATCAAACATGAGTTTCCTCTTGTATTTAGAGAAATATGAGAGACTGAAATTCCTCTTACAGGGCTTACAAGACCAGTAAGTCCAATATCAACAACTCACCAGAGAAGAACATGGCTCAGGATCTATTCCTTGCCATCTATAAAAGTTTCAGGATTGGAATTCACTCCCATTCAGCTTGTATGTTCAATGCAAGCTCCCTGAAAAAAACAGCTTTGGTTTTGCACAGAGCAAGGGACTAAGTTTATATTTGATAACTAAAGCCAAGAAAGAGATCAGAAGGTGCACCTGAAAAGCAGGTGATTGTACTGGAAATGCACATAATGCAAGAGCAGAGCAAGGAAAGTTTATATTTGATAACTAAACCCAAGAGATCAGAAGGTGCACCTGAAAAGCAGGTGATTGTACTGGAAATGCACATAATGCAAGAGCATTAATTTCATTTCAAATAAGATGATTGTTTTCCCACTTACTACCAGCCAAGCCAACAGTGTAGGAAAAGCCCTGAGGATCCAAAAACAGTCTACAGGTTTCAGCCTGTAAGGAAGTCACTAAGAAAGCACAGATTTGGTTCTGAAGCCTCAGTAAGCAATGACAGAACTGCACATGACTCCTGTAAAGAGACTCAAGGGTACAGCACAAGCAGATTGGATGGAATATCCTGTTCCACAAAGGTTTCTGCAAAAGTGGCTCAGTGTTATTCATGTTCATTGGGGAGAAATAAAAAAAAAAAGACATCTAAGTGAGTGGAGAGGGGCATTAGTGAGTACAAACAGACCCGGAATGCTTGTCTGAGTGCAAGTTAAGGGAAACATACTGATAAGAACTTGATTACCCATCAAATCCCCATTTTATTTTACGATGTTTACTGAAGTAAACTTGTAACAGGAAACAAGCAACATGTACATACAGCCAGCAGATTGGTCTTCAGCAGCTGCCACAGAACAAGTTGTGGAATAAATCTGTTTTGTTGGGGTGTTTTTTCTGTGCAAAACTACACAAATGCAAAGGCAAAAAAAATGAGGGGGGGAAAATCAAGGAAATTCAGGTTCCCCTATTACTTGAGCTTAGCTGTGGAGCAAGGTGAGCTGTTTTTGTACAGCAGACTAAATACTATACATCAGATGTGCAAAGGTGGTTATTCCCATCCTGTAAAGAACTTGAAATAAGGCTAGGAAAGAGGATGATGTTGATCAAGCTGTCTGCAATTAGGAATGCCAAATTGCTCCATACAAAGCTCATATCCACATACAGGAAGCACAGACAGCCAGGCCAGCACCTGGTTTGGAGAAAACTGCTCTGGACACATATGTCAGAGATGGTAAAAGATTTGCAGACAGCTGTCAGTGAGGATAAAGAGGTGATTTCTAGAAGTAAAACAGTAAGAAACACCCAAGTAGCAGGTTCAAAAACCTTACAGGTGATGAGCACTTCAAAGGGAAGTAGCACACACTGTTTATTCCATCCAGGCCTTTCCCTCACCATTACCACAGGCTCTGTAACATGGTAATAAGAGTCAAATTTTCTCAATCTGAAAAGAATGCATTTGTGGCAGAGGTCTCAGAACACACCAAGCCAAGATTTTAAAATCTGCACTACACAAACCATTTAAGAAGTAATGAAGGTTTTCATACTTGTAATGCAGGAACTACATTAGCTGCACAGCTCCAAAAGACTGTCATGCTCCTGTCCAACACATCTCCCCATAGATGCATAACCATCACTGGGTGTGGACAGAAACAAGCTGACTTGCTAGTACAAACACTGTCACTGTCTTGTAAAGGAAGGAATTTGCCAGTTGTTTCCTCAAAAATCCTGTGTGCTGAGGATTAGATCCAGCTGTCATTCCCACACAGCACTGCATGAAGAGCAGGACACCAAGTCATAGCAAGATCTTGGGTGCATGTTTTTCATGTGCAAGCCATTCCAGGAGACATCAAGAGAGATAGGATGAACTTAGTGTGCTAAGCCTCACGTTTTCCTTGAATTGTTCCCATTTCCCAGGAGCATTTTGTTAATCACAAAAAGTTACACTCTCAAAATACTCAGTACTAGTGTTGGAGGCAAAGGGGAGGGAGATGTCAGATCAATATGTAAGACAGACAAAGTGAGACTGAGCAACAGTTTGACTTTGCAGAGAAGCTGAACTACACCTTAGACTCCAGAAAATTTCTCAATAAAAAACTCAAGCTATACTTTAGACATAAGTGTCCTTCCACAAGCAGCTACGATTTTCAAAGATACTTTGGAAGTTAAAAAAACTAATAGGGGAGTTATGGATTTGTTTGGGGGGTTTTGACTATTGTGTTAGCTATGTTTTAGTGTACTTCAGCTTGAAAAATGAAAGCAGTGTGTTTCATTATTGTCCTCACTAGTTGATTTTCTGGTTGGATTGTAACTAAGAGATCCATTTCAATATTCTCTACCATATTTCTAAATGCCATTCTGTGCAAAGCGGATATTAGTGACACGAGTTATGAACTTCAGGAAGGTGAAAAATATGGGCATTGCCAGAAGCTAGTGAAGACAATATTCCGACCGGTAGTTGGACTCCAAGTACAGGATGAACAAGAGATGACACAGTTCCTTCCTTCAGGATCCTGATACCTAATCTGGGTCTCTGAAAAATTAGAGGCTACAAATGTACATGAACAAGCCAGAAGGAAATCATTTTCTGATAGTTCAGCTGCACAAAATCCAAATCATATTTGTTGTTCTTACTCTCCACCACCTCACGGATAAACAGGAAAGCAGGATTTGACACAATAAGTACATTTCATGTATTGCTTGCATTAATTCAAATAAGATATTTGATGCTCAAGGAGGACTTGAAAGATGATTTCAAGACAAGTGAGATAAGTGAAATTGGGCAAATTCAAGTGTAAAAATCATGAGACTGGCTACTCCCACAACAAGACAAGCAGCAGCACTTGTTAACAGAACTCGATTAAAGTTGTGTTGCGTAACTCCAGTGAAATAATTTTGAGCACAGAACACAACTCCCAGTACTACTCTATCTTCCAATCACTGTCATAACATGTGTTACCAAGGAGTAAGCACACTGAGAGAACAAAAACTGCAAAACCTACTCTGTGAAGCATCCTCACAAGCTATGGCTTCTTTGGCTTTAATTATGAAGGTTCTTGCACTACAGAAGCTACAACATATTAGAGGGGAAACCTAACACAATATTCCACTGCAGTTTGCCAAATGGCAGAGCATAAACTGATCAGATCTGTTCTGATACTGAACACAACCAAGATCTTGTGACATTGCTTCCCTACGAATCACTGCACAATCTCTTACATAACTAACAAATAATGACAGTGGCTAAAAACATGTCTGGCTTTAAAGAAAAATTTAGTCTTTACTGAAGCAGAAGACTCTGGAGAAAAATTGACACGTTGCCAAATACAGTTAAATAAAGATTGAGGGGAATAAGTCAAGCATGAAGGAATCCTTTCCCAAAAAATTGGCATAGCTAAAGGCCATTTAGAACAGCAATACTTCTCTATCTTGATAAGGTGAAAACCCAACAAGCAGCATGTCTCATTTGAGGGTATTTCAAAATTTTGCATCACGTGTTTTGCCCATGGGCACCTCTTTTACAGAAAAACTGACATTTTTTAGCAGAACAGCCTTGCCATAATTTTTTGTGACCTCTTCACTGACCACAGCCCAAGCTGCCATTGCCATCTGGTTGCTTAAAAAGTTCCATAAACCATTTTTTTTGCTGAGTCATGCAAGATAACAGGAATTAAGCATATCTGAAGAAAAGAAGCAGCAAAGTATGCTACAAAGTAGGATTAAGAGCGAAAAAAAAAGGATAAAGGTGTAACTAGTAAAACCAATATTTATTAGCACTATAGTTCAGGCCAACTGATGGGGTCTGAACATGCTTGTGTCCAGAACAAGTGACTCAGGTTGGTGGTGGAACACTGCAGAAGAGGCAGGTCAGACATAGCCTTCAGACCCAAACCTCCAAATCACTTCGACAGTGACTTGAAACACAGTTCACACTAAGCCCCTTCTCCAATTACAGGCACAGCAGCACATTTTGCCTCTGAAGTAAACCATGAACCAGAATTTCATATAAGTTACATATAATCCTCTGTAATTTGAGTGTCTTGCATTCTTACACCTAGAGAATCAATTGGGCACATGGAGCAACGACACCTTCATCTTCAAAGGTTTACCATGAAGGAGAGAGATTTAAACATTAAATTGGAGTCACCAAAACAAAGCTCAGCACACAACATACACAGTTAAGAGTGGGTCACAGCCTTCAGGAGCCAGACCCTACCAGTGTGCTGCACAAAACCAAGCATTACACTGATTACTTCAAGCAAATTAGGAGACAGACTAACCTGTGGCTTAAAAAGAAACTTTGTGGAGTCAGGTCAAAACCTCAGGCGGTAGCAAAGAAAAGACAAACACAAAAAAAAAAAAAAGCCAAAGATTAAGCGTGAGAGGATAAATTAGTAGTAGAGGAAAAAGGAGCAAAAACACGTTAAGAGGAATTGGCATTATTGTCCAAAAATGAGGTATTGCTGTGCTCATCTTATTTCTGGTATATACAGAAATAGTTAATAGTTATCTGCATCATTCCAGTTCAAAGCAAGCTATTAAAAAAAAATAAAAAAAAGCAAAGGAGTGCAAATGAGCATCCCACTAATCTTGGGAAAACTTAGTGGTCTTGATCTCCCAAGGAATCAAGTCAACTGCTGTTAGAATCAGTGAGTGCTGCCTACTCCTTTTTCCATAACTAAACATAAGCCTAAAATGATAACTAATATAGCTTGGTGATGTGGCAACAAACTGAAAAAAAAGTCTGTGTTTTCATCACAGACATTGCCAAAGAAAGCACATGATACAGAGATTTGTTTCTTACCCCTAAACATCACTGAACCAGGAGTAGCTTGTTATAAAATTAACTGCAGTTTAGATAATTAATTCTAATTAGTAATATTAAAGACATTCACATATTTATTTACTCATGAGGTGGAAGGGTTAGAAAAGATTCTGTCCATGATGTATTGATCCTCCTGGTGCTCTGAGAAGAATGCTGCTAAAAAGGCTTTAAGTATTTCACATCATAAAACTCACTTTTTCTATCACAAGTAATTCCTCGACATAAACAAAACACCAAGAACAGTACCTGTACCCATAAACAATACATTCATTTACACAAGAGCTAATTTTTCCTTTTGGTTACCAGAAATTTATTTGCCCACCTTTCACAAAGAGGTTTACTATGAACAGAGGCACTTACATCAGATAAAAACTGCTTTCCAGTTATAGAACAAAACACACACCAATTAGTCGTTTTAGTCCGAGAAACTCAGTAAATTATAAAAATATAACTTCTACTCAAAGTTTTCTACAACGTTTCAAGTTATACTAGTTGAGACTTGTCACAGCAGGTTAGTAGCAGTTAAGTGATGAACTGCAATTATACTTTGTTGAGGAAGAGTTACAGACAAGACAGCTTAACATTCAATAGTTTAGTAGCAAGTCTTGGACAAACCAATGAGTTAGAGACAAACTTTGCCCTCTGAGAAGCTAAATGAAAAAGCAACAATAAAGCTTACAGAACTTAGCTCGTACAATTTGCCTTGAAGGCGGTAGATTGGTTCCCTGAAATAGCAAATTGCAAAAATGAAGTTTTATTTCAGAAACATTTTCTCATTCTTTTCAACTCCAAACAATTAACTTACAAACATCTGTTTATTATCTCTAAAATAAAAGGTTCAGCAAAGTCCTTTATACCAGAAGTAATCAAGTTTCAACATTGAATTTTAGAACGCCAAGTTTTTTTCTCCCCTTCTTTAAAGAGAAAACATTCACTTAATTAAAAAATCATTCATTTTATTTGTGTATTTTTGAAGACTCAGATAATTGGTCGATTTTCCTTTTATGGGACACTCCAAAGTGATGACAGTTGTTGTGTTTGACACATGTTCCGGCACAGCTAGATAAGAAGGAAATCTCTCCTCGGAGGGGAGAGATTAGTCTTTGAAGCCATTTCATTGTTTAGACCTTCCAGCTTTTTTCATTTTAATCCAAACCATATATTACACCAAAAATGCCACTCATGCTGGTCAGGCTGTGGGGGACCACCACATCCAAGAACTTATTGGATCACTTTCAGTAACATCTCAAAAATAACTAGCAATTTCTTGGTGGGAGGAAGAGATTGAATTTCCAGCCCCAAAAAGATGACTAAATTTTTCAAAAATGCTAAGAACTCTTGTTTACAACAGCAGCAGAATAGGAGACTTTCCGAAATGTCAGGTTTGTCACCTGAGGGATCTAAACTCAGTGGTCACATTTGAAAACCTTGACCTTTCACCTCCTGAGAACTGTTTGACCAAATTGCACATGAAAATATCAGACATTCAATACTTGGAATTATTTATACAAAATTTCACTGTTTGACTAGATTTTTTTTTATTTCCTTCTAAAAGTATGTACTAGTTCCATAACATTCTGTTTAAGACTTTGCAAAACCCTCAAAGTGAGCAGAAACTCTCCAAGTTGTACTTTCTGTTTAAGACTTTGCAAAACCCTGAAAGTGAGCAGAAACTCTCCAAGTTGTAACATTTTCATTATTTTCATCTCCTACCAAGAAGACAACTGATTCTGCAAAGCACTGAGCACCCTTAGCCCAAACAAAAGCAAAGAAAGCAGCAAGGCTCAGGAGCATTAAGCACCTTGCAGAATCAATCCCATATTCTTATGTGACAAACAGAAACAAACAAGTCATTTCACTAATGAATCTCAGTGAAAATGCTAAATGAGACCATCAACCAGCTATTCTTTGGTTACTTCAAGAAAGGCCCATGGTACACAGTCAATAACCTTGTGAAGCCAACTGAAAGGTTTCAGAAGTAAAGGCAAATCTGCTTTTTCTGGCTGAGTTGCCCTTCACTGCTGTTAAGCTGTGAAAACATGAGCACTAGTAAAACCACTACGACAAAGCACACACAAGCAAGTACTCACCAGCATTTTGGAGTCTGAAATTCACAAGTTTGCAGTTAATGACAAAACACACTGATGTGTAACAGAAGAGATTCAATGCACTAAATGGCATGGGAGGGGAGATGCTAACCAGCAGTGCAAGCAGCAGCAGAAATACTACACAATAAATGATGGTAACAATGAAAGTCAGGTGACTCTGAAAAGTTTGGCCATACAAGGCAATGGTGATGCATTTTATGTATGTTTGAAGCAGAAAAGGTAAATGATATAGTTAGAAAGAGAAAATGCAGCCAAGAAAACCAAACAGCTTGGATTAACTTGCACATGCCATTATCCATTCTCTGTTAGGTGCCTACCTGATTTCCCACTGCACTTTTGTTAACCTGACTGCTTCTTTGTTGGGCACTAAGGGAAGCAGAGGAAAAGAGTTATTCTGAAGGAACTTGCACTAAGCCATTTTCCAAGGAATAGATTTTAGCAGCAATAGTAACTTTTGATTCCAGCAGAGAAAGCTAGATTAACACAGTAAAAAACCACACCAAAATCATTGCATATATGTACATATTTCAACTGCTTTACTTTCCTGCCTGCTTATCTTTGCCTGCTTAGGACAGAAGGGGCATGCACAGCAGACAGCTCCTACTAATCATCTCCTTTGCAACAACATCCTACTTGGATTGGTAAAGGTTACTAAAAGCACAGAGAAATTATGGCTCATGTGGGTAACTCTGGAAACATTAGCCTCTATAAATATTCTGAAGAGACAAAAAACAAGCCATTTCTGTTATTTAGAGCAGTACAACAAAATCCTCCCCTGCTGGAGGCTCCTTAATAAGCTTTGTCTTGACAGTTTGTTTTGGATATTATTCTAATATTTATATGCACTTTGAGGGTGTAAATATAACCAATGGATGAAGCCATCACAAAGCTGGTGCAGAGCTAGAATCATGTAAGAATAGAGCACATTTGAAGTTAAACCATATTTAAAATACTTTCCTCAATTCTTGCACTTTGGTAATCCCAGCTCCTGAAACAAAACACACTCCTGTCCCAAAACCAAACAAGTTGCCATTAATTCTAAAAGCATCTGCATTATGTGGTGGTTTCTGTTAGGCCACAGAATTAAAATATTGTGGAAAGAGGAAGAAAAGCGTTCAGAGACCAGGCTTTGGCTACTCCACCACCAGAGCAGCCACTGGTGACAGGAAGTTTTGTTTGGATTAGATTATACCATTTCACCAGGCATTGATTAACTGAAGTAAAAAGCACCCATATTAGATCAGCCACAAATGCTGCTCCAAAAGGGAAAGGCAGAATGATGGACTTGGATCAGAGCCTACAGGCCAGTCCTGCCACTGTTTTGTGCACAGCTGCTGCTCCAAAGAATTGCTGAAGCACCAAACTCAACCCCACTTGAATTCTGATCCTGCCCTTCAGACCATACCTTATCAAACCAGTGTACATATGCTGCCTGGGAGAAGATCCACAAGGATACTTATTCCATGTGGTTACTCACTGCATTTAGCTCTCAGCCATTCAGAACCTTCTGACCAGACAACACTGCATGTCTCTGGTGCATTGTCTGAGTTGCATAAGTGTTGGTGCATAATTATGATTAAATAATGAGCACATAGAAAGCACAGCACTAACACTGGTTTGTTTTCTTAATGTTATCACCTTAGGAAAGCTAATTAAACCACTGATATCATACTAAAAATCCCATGCCTTGTAGAAATAGTCTTTTATTTACTGTTCTAAATGCAAATTACTCTTTAGGTAGATTGAAGCATGTAGTTATGTCTGATTTATACCAACTGGAAACAAACCCAATCTCAAAATTTTACCACTTGTTCTGCTGAATGAGACAAACATTCTAAGATTTTGCAATTTCATAACTATGCACAGTTGTTCTAAACATTGGCATTCTTAAAGTCCCTCTCAAATCAAATCACACTGCACTGTACCTGCCCCAGACCCAGCAATGCTGCAAGGTAGTTTGAATTGTCTTATGCTCTCCTTCTTATGACCAAGGTTCACAGGGTTAAAATGCTGCAGTCACATGAGACAGCTGGCTAGAAACTCAGCAAAAGAAAGGAAACACTAGGGAATCTGGGGAACCTACAGCCCAGGATACTGCAAAAGCCCAGAAGTTATTTCATTTTCCAGTTCTAATACAATTGCTATAATGGTAATAGGATTAGAGTTTTAAATTAGTAGTTTCTACTCTTTAGCTCATAAATTACCTTATTTTAAATTGTTCTTAGCTATCCAAGTTTTCTCTTTCAGTTGAGCAGAAGTCAACAAGGATAATTTCCTTCCCATCTGTTCCAACCTATAGAAACACCTGCCTCAACTTACCAGTGAATGAACTTAAGTCAAGAGTCACTTGTTATCTGCTTATCCCCTGTGCACAGTGGCTGGGGATTTCTAGAGCTCAGCTGGCAAAAAAAAGGAAGCAGCTCTCCCAAGAAACTCAAACATTGCAATTCCTTGAAAAAGACACAGCAGTGAGGACCATGGACTGAATTACAGGCCACAGCAGCAGTATCCATGAGGGGAATTTTTCCAGGGAAGAAGCATAATGGAATAGGTTCAGGTACACCTGACACTACAGAATCCAATACTATAAAATATGGATGGTTCCAACTCGACACAAGGAAAAGTCTTTCCACAGTGAGGAGAGGCAAACATTGGAATAGGCTGCATAAGGAGCCTGGAGAACCTCCAATTTGGGGATTTTTCCAGATCTGATTGGACTAAACCCTAAGTAACCTAGTCTGAACTCAACTCCTCTGAGCAGGAGGTTGGACTATGTGACTTCCCAAGGTCACAACACACCCCATGAATGTATATGGAGTGTTTTTAGCAGGCTTTTTCCTGTCAGAAAAGGATGAGAAGCAAATAGCAGGCAGGTTGTTATCTTGACCCCTAGAAGGCCAGCTACCATTCCTACAACATCCTGTCATTTGTCAAGAGAACTGTTAAAGATATCTAGGACCTGCAAACAATTCCAGAGAAAGTTGCTCAAACCAAACACAAATAGTGCCTGGTTTTGCCTTCTCCCCTCTCAGCTTACTCAACTCCATGTTTTAAACCTTCCAGTCACTCTGCCAAAGATGTGGACCTTCCTTCACAGTGCTAACTAGAGTAGACCAGAGCCAAATACATACTGTGGTGCCAAACTTTGCTGCCAGCATCCCACATGGTTGAAACCTGTTGTGATTCCCAACACTGTTACAGCAAATATGGCATGGATATGACTGAAGGAACATTTATTCTTCAAAGAGTGAAGACATCTTTAATGTTTTGACTAGTGTCAAAACGTTGGTATGAAGCCCCTGAGGCACAAACTGCTGGCAACTGAGGGAGAACATTCTGGAGAATATTCTCACAGCCTTTACAATTAAGTGAGGAGAACGTCAAACCAGGCCCTGCAGGGCACTCTGCTACTATTCTTCTCTACAGCCAAACAGCAGGCACACTCAGAATTCAGTGACATCCATTATTCTGAGCAAAGCTGTTTCACACAGAATCACAGCTCCCAAAATATGCATTAGCAACAATGTGGAAAGACCACCAATACTATACATTTCTGTGGTCCTGAAATGGATACAGTGAGGGCATTGACTTGCCAAAGCTGCTTCCTGAGATACATCTGATTCCAGACCAAGACAGAAGCTTCAGCTTCAGTGAAGCCAAGTTTGTGAGCTGGGGAAA